TAAACTTTACGTCAACGAATCCAAAGCTGACACATTCTTGACATCGGAGTTTGACATACGCCTCAATGCATCCAACAAAAATGGCAAGATTGAGCTCATATATAGCGACATGCACGTTGAAGTATCGTCCGAAGGCGTCGACTTGGGGAAAATGCAGTTGAAGGATTTTACTCAGAAACCTAGTACGATAGCTGAAGTGAAAGTGCATACCTCGGTTAAGGACAAGGAGGTCGAAGATGCTGATGGTAAAGATTTAGAGGACAAGTCCAAGGTTCATCAGTTGCTTATGGATATTGTCCTAAGAGGTCACATTGATTTCTTATTGTATGGCAAGAAATTATTGAATGGATTTCCATTTAAAGTTTTGTGCAAAAGCATCTATGAAGGAGATATTGACAATGGACACCCTCCTTCATGCAATGTCAGAATGAGCCTTGTAATGTAAGAAAATTTCTCATCAATTACACACATCATATGTATATATTTGCGAGTATTGCTATTAATTAGAAGTGCTGATGATCATCAAACTATCTGATGTGGGACAACAGTCACATTGTCCTATAAAATTGGGATACATTTTAGCCCCTGTTCGATTTAGTTAAAAAGTTGATAAAAATCAAAGTCAAAGTTAACAATTAATTTTAACGACACATATAATAAGATTCACAACTTTTTATCAACTTTTCATCGACACATTTTATCAACTTTTACCAGAATTTACAAAACGGACTTTTAGCAAAATCAAACCGGGCTTAATTTATAGCAAAATGTGGTAAATATTCCATTGTCGCATAGATTGATGATAATTAGAACTTCTGATGAATATTCGATATATACACATTCATATCTTATTTTGTTTGCAATGGCTATTGGTGCAGTTGATGAAGTAGAGAAGAAAGAATTGGAAGGAGAAGATGCAGCAAAGCGTCCATGAGCTGTTACAACCTTAGATTCACATTGCATTAGTTATTTTAATTTATATGAGTGGAGTTGGTCTAACTTGTAACTATTTTCAGCCCTTTTTGATAATTTCTTGAGTGAAAGCAGATTGTAATTTTAACGAATTAATAATTTTAACGACTTGTGAAAATATTGGATATAGTAATCTTTCTTATCGAAGGTTACACGAAAAACTCCTAAATGACGTTTTTCGTTTTGAAAACTAATTTTTTGGGAACCTGCAAAAACATTTCAATCAATGTGTATGATCAAATTTTAACCATCTCATCTGAAAATAAATTCATATTAGTGAGACACACATATTTCAATTTTTTCATTTAAAAATAAATTGGCGTCCATTGATGATAGGCTAAACATTTTATGATATTAGATCGATATCATTTGCATGACACATCCCATGACCTAAAGAGCGGCCTTGTTGCACCTCCAACATATGTTTTCTAATTTTCTTTTAATTTTTAACAAAAAAATCAAAACCTTTACAAAAATAGAAAAATTTAAGAAACTTTTGATGCAAACCTTGACTAAAAATTGAATTTTTTTTTTTTTTAATGTGGGCTCAACTAACAATTAATTTAATTGGGCATCAAATAAAACAAATTAATTTAGTTATAAACATTTTTCTTAAGATATAAAATGAAGCTAATTTTAACTACACATTCCTAAATACATACGTACATATATATATATATATAT